AAGCGAGCAAAGGCACAGCTCTCCACCTGGCAAAGGAAGCTCTACCACCTAAGAGCGAGCCACCAAAACGACCCATAGCCAAACACTCTAGCGCAAAACAAACTAATCCAACAAAACTTACAACACCAAGCACTCAACAAAGTGGGATTCAACTTGCAAAAGCTGAAGGCCACTCAATACTCACAGGGAAATAGGGCGGGAAAACCCCTCGCCACCAGTCTTAAACAAAAGCAGGCCAACCAGTTATCGTGTACCTAACATCAGGTACAGGCCATAAGCTCATGTCCCCAAAAGACATAAGCAACAAGAACTCGGACCTATACAACCTCCATCGGGACCTAAACACCCACTAACCCACTAGGGAGAGCATAACGCAGTACCTAGGCACTATACAGCTTCCACAACTGTCCCTCCAACATCAAAACGACCTAGCGGCGCCAATCACCGCGACAGAGGTCAAAAACACTATCCAGTCACTGGCCGCAGGCCAATCGCCTGGCCCAGATGACTTTTCCAATTCCTATTACAAAAGATTTTGTGATGCCTTGACCCCACAACTGACCAAACTCTTCAATGACGCCATAACCTCACACTCATTCCCACCCGAAATCCTATTAGCACATATAGTCACACTGCCGAAACCAGGCAAACCGGCCACAAACCCACAGAACTTTAGTCCAAAAATACTGGCCACCAGACTACGACCTATACTTCCCGATATTATACACAACGACCAGGTCGGGTTCATCAAGGGGAGGCAAAGCTCAGACAACACCCGTAAGGTGCTAGACATCCTGCATATCCTACAAGACACCAGTGGGTGGGGTTTGATGTTATCACTAGACACGGAGAAGGCCTTCGACTGCCTGGGCTGGGGGTTCCTAGACATGGTGAGGAGAAAGAGCGACGCCCTTCATTTCAGCGGTCGGGGCACTCGACGTGGACCCCGCAGCACAGGTGCTTAACGCAGGGTTCCTGTCGGTCAGGTTTAGCAATAAAAATGGAACCCGCCAAGGCTGCCCTCTCTCACCGCTGGCGCTCGAACCCTTAGCAGACAAAATCTGAGCTGACCCTTCAATACATGGAGTAGTGATAGGCAATAAAGAATACAAGACAAACCTATTTGCCGACGATTTCCTCCTCACACTCAACCACTCAACCACCACACCCAACCACTCATCTCCCTCCCTAACCTACACAAACAAATAGAGTACTATGGCCACCAATCATACTACAAACTGAATGTAGCACTAGGCATAGGCATAGACTCCCATACTACTGAGATTCTTAAATCGAAATTCTCTTTCGACTGGAGGTCTGACTTTCTCATTTTTTTAGAAATTCGAATCACCAAACTGTCACAGCTTACCTTAGTTGGGAGTCCGGTAGGCAGAGATTTATGCTCACCCTTGCAATTAAACACAGGCCAAGGTGGTCAGGTAAGAATTCACCTGGCCTGTGAGTCTGTGCACCGAGGCTGTGCAGGATATTGCTCCAAGTCACAGTACAGGTAAGGACACAAGCAGGAGAATCGTCAAGGGTAAGCCAAAGTCAGAGGATGCCAGAAGTCAGGCTACACAGTAAGAAAGCCAAAATCAGAGGATGCCAGAAGTCAAGATACACAATGCAAATAAGCCAAGGTCAGGAGCCAACTGGAGAACACTGGATTACAAATACAGGAACCAGAGTCAATGAACTGACACTGCCCTCAGGGAAAGGCAGTGTCTTCTACCTGGCTAATCAGTAATACTTTACAGCTGGACCATGATTGGCAGTCACAGTCACAGGTTAAGTCCAGCCCCCAGTGCCGGAGACTTGGCAAGGATAAGTTTCAGGCCAAACTAAGAACCGAAGTGGCTCAGAGGCAGTAACACAGGCTGAGAAACATAAATCACCCAGGTTCAAATCCCCTGTTGGGCACTTCTAGGGCGACCTCGTCTGGCAGTCTGGATGTCATGGTGAGAACCGTGGCATAAACACATACCATCCCTTTTCAAACACAACTACAAGATCTTACTGACTGAATTCAAAAAAACATTCCAGACCTGGAAAGACAAATTCCTCTGCTGGAATGGCAGGCTGGCAGCCTTTAAAATGTCTCTCCTACCCAAATACCACTATCTACTCCATACATTGCAGATCCCTCTCCCGAAGAACTTCTTAGTCAATATCCAAAAATCAGTAGTACAGTTCATATGGCAGGGAAAAAAGGCCAGAGTGGCGATTAAAATCTTACAAAGACCAGTACCATTTGGAGGACTCAACCACCCAAATATTATAAAGCAGCACTGCTCTCCTCCATGATCACGGCCCACACCACAGTAAAGAAGCCCCAATGGGTGGAAATAGAATCCCACCGGTCTTGTAAACAAGGCATGCATTACACGTTTTGGACCAAAAAGCACAAATGGCCCCTCCCGCAGACCACGTTGGACACCACTAGACTGCTCCCCCAGATGTGGGACTCCTGTCGAGCCCACCTCTGCACGGAGAACTCACACTCCTTGGCCACCCCGCTCTATAGTATCAACTTGAGCGACCCGACTTTTGACTATAGACCGTAGCTAAAACAAGGGTGCTCACACATATTCCAACTATACCAGGGAACGCAGTGGAAAGCATTCACAGAACTCCAAACACAATTCAAACTGCCAAGCTCAGCCCTCTTCTCCTACCTACAGCTCAAATCCAGCCTACATGAGACCACGAAAAAACTTCTGACAGCCACACTGACAGCATTTGTAAAACTTTGCCTTCACAAACTACCTCCCAAGAGGGCACTATCAACTATATACCGTGAATTTGTATATCGCAATTTGAATTCATTCGGAAGCTGCAATATCGCTGGTACCTGGTCCCAGACAGGCTAGCACACATATACCCGGGCACCTCCAACACTTGTTGGAGATACAGGAGCCAGACAGGCACCATGTACCATGTCTGGTGGACGTGCCCCAACATACAACAATTCTGGGACATAGCACGGTGGTGACCCAAACCATACCTCAAACCCTGTCTCTGACACCAGAGGTCTGCCTACTATTTATGAGACAGAAAACTATCCCGCGGATAGAACGTAAGCTCCTATTACACATTTTTATATCAGCCGACACACTGATTGCCGGAAGGTGGAAAATAAAAAACACACCCTACAAGGAGGAACTCCTACAGCAGATAACAATAAATTGGGCCTACGAACGCATGGCTCATGCACAAATTAAAGCTGACACACTAAAAGCGGGAGACATATGGACCCAAAAGTGGCCCAGCAGGGCCGACCCCAGTAGCAACACCAACCCCCCGACCCCTCTTGCCCCATGCCAACTAGAGAAGAAACACCACCCTTCCGAAGGCGACACCTGACCAAGCCCAACCTGGTCTTACACATCCCTCTACGACACATATCTGCACCTAACGAACTCCAGGCACTAGGTACCCCACCCACAGTCACACTAGGATGCAACTGACGCCCGACCGAAACCCAGCCGGGTGCATCCCTGCCCCCACACTAGACCCGGGCCACACATGCCATTGACGCACGACACGTCACCAACTAGTAGGGAGAGTGGAAGCAACCGACTAGCAGGCCCCCGAGAAGCACGTGAACAATGCTAGGGCACTTGCTCACAGTTGTATTTCAAGACATACAAGTCGATCAACAACTGCTCCTCCAGCAGTTATTCTCCGCTCCCTAGATTAACCCCCCCCAGCAAGATAATTACCAACGACAGCGCCACAGGGAGCTGACATGGAATATGACATAGTGGATCCTACACTTATACCCACAACCACCACCAAACCACGCCACCCCAACCTTCCAAAAATATATAATTAGCCACTTAGCCACAAACACTTGCCAAAGTTAGCGTTCAAATTAGTTTTTTGCATTTTTTTTTACACAAAAACTGCACTTTTACTGGTGATTTCAACGTGGTGATATGTTTTACTGTTTTAAACACTCATATTTGTGTTCAGAGAAATCTACCAAGTATAACAATACCCCCATGTAGAGGTTTTATGGTGTTTTGAAAAGGTACAGGGTCAATAAAGGGCTTGCAAAATTCAGTTTGCCATATTGAATTGCTGCATCTGTGTTGCCTTTTGTGACCATGTGGTAGCCCAGGAATGTGAAATAACCCCATCATGGCATACGATTTTCAAATGTAGACAACCAGGGTATTCCAAATGGGGTATTTCCAGTATTTTGTATTAGCTACTTAGTCACAAATGCTGACCAAAGTTAGCGTTTTTTTTTGTTTTTTGCATTTTGTTTACACAAAAACTGCATTTTTTTTTAAATTCTTTATTTTATTCGTGCATAGAATTAACAAGCAGTTTTGCACTGCCACGACAGCTGGTGCAAACATAAATGAAACACGTGGTGACAGAACAATAAAAGACATAAAATGACATACGGTTACATTTATCACATAGAACATACACATTCTACCTATCCCCAGATAGCTTAGATCTGAGCGCCCTTTACTACCGGATGGCGCTCAGATCACATACATACAGTTCAATCGCCATGGAGCCAAAGTCTTTCATACAGTCTTTCAGTATACAGCTGGGCTCCATGGCATTGCTATCTGGGGTAGCATGGTTTAAACAGTAAAGTACTAAGTTATGCTTAGTAAGATTTAACCGTGCTTAGTTAGAGTCAATCATGCCTAGTCAGGGTCAACCATGTTCAGTGAGGCTTAACCATTCTCAGTAAGGGTTAACCTTGCTCAGTGAGATTTAACTATGCCCAGTTAGGTTTAACCATGCTTAGAAAGGGTTAACTATGCCCAGTTAGGTTTAACCATGCTTAGAAAGGGTTAACTATGCCCAGGTAGGTGTAAACATGCTTAGAAAGGGTTAACTATGCCCAGTTAGGTTTAACCATGCTTAGAAAGGGTTAACTATGCCCAGTTAGGTTTAACCATGCTTAGAAAGGGTTAACTATGCCCAGTTAGGTTTAACCATGCTTAGAAAAGGTTAACTATGCCCAGGTAGGTTTAACAATGCTGAAGACGATTGAACCACCAGGGGAAAGCAGAGCGTTGAGCCGATCGGGTCGGATGTCCATATTTGCTCAGGTATCTTTGATGCTTTCTGTAGGGAGCAGCAGGAGGAGAGTCAACTGTAATAGGTACAAGCTTCTGATGTTGAGAAGAGTTTATGTCCCATGTCTGTTGGTCCCTTATGAGACTGCCAGTAACCATGTGGGACAGTGCCTCAGGTGTTCGCAGATGTGGGCTTTGCTCGAGCATGCCCTCCGTGGAGTTGTCTGATGTGCTGCCAGAGTGTGCTATTGTTTGCGGGCCGCAGTTAGTGTGTGGTAGTCTGGTCCACGTTGGTTTGCAGGCAGTTGCCAGAGGTTGCTCCCCTGTTGCCGCCTCCATTCCCCAGCTAGTGAGGGTCGCGGCGGCCATTTTGGCTTTTGCCATGCGGTCCCTGCTTGGGCGGCTCACAGCTCTTGGGTGATCACTGCTTCCCCGGTGGGGTCTGGGATAACCCCCCCGGCCCACGGGAGGGGTAACGGGGCCCTTAGTAAGCATGTGGGAGGTCCCGCCGGACTAAGTGCGAGAGACCAGCCGCGTCTCCCGCCAGAGCCTCACGACAGGCCGCAATCCAAGCTGCCCAGCAAACAGCATCGCCGGTAGTCCAGTTACTCACACAGAGTGTTGTGCTCTGGACCCCCTCGCCTTCTTGCAGTTGCTGTGTGGTTTTGCAGGGGAGAACTGTAGTTTTAAGCCCGGATAGTAGGTATTCGTGGAGGAGCCGAGGTGCCCCACTTCCATCCAGCTCGGCGGTCAGGCCCCGCCCCCACAAAAACTGCATTTTTATTGGTGATTTCATCGACGTAATAAGTTTTACTGTTTTAAACACTCATATTTGTATTCAGCGAAGTCTCCCAAGTATAACAATACCCCCCATGCACAGGTTTTATGGTGTTTTGGAAAGTTACAGGGCCAATATAGGGCTTGCCCAATTCAATTTGCCAGATTAGTTTGCGGGGTCTGTGTTGCCTTTTGAGACCATATGGTAGCCCAGGAATGTTAAATAACGCCATAATGGCATACCATTAGATAACCAACGGTATTCCAAATGGGGTATTTCCAGTCTTTTGTAGTAGCCACTTAGCGTTTTTATTTGTTTATTATAATTTTTTTTTTCAATTTATATTATATGTATATGTATATATATATATACACACAAACACACACACACACACACACACACACACACACACACAAGATATGTTTGTGTGTGTGTGTGTGTATATATATATATACACACACACACAATACGTGTGTATATAATACGTATGTGTGTGTGTGTGTGTGTATATATATATATATATATATACATATACATATACACAAACACACACACTTTTATTTCCTATATATGTATAATATATTATAAATAAAGCATTTTATAATATATTATGCATATATATGATTTCATTATAAGCGTATTTTGAGATATATATGTATATATCTCAAAGTACACTTATAATGAAATCATATATTTGCATTATATATGTATAATAGATTATAAAATGCTTTTATTATTTTTTTTTTACTTTTTACCAGCCTGGGGGACTGTCTGACAGTCCCCCTGCTGGTAGCTCCTAGATTCTTATTCCATTGCTGTGATCATGGTGATCACATGGCCCTGGGGTGCCGGGGTGGCCGGAGCTGCTGCAGGGGGACTGCTGGAGTCTCTGGCAGTTCCCCCCCCCGACCATGATCGCCACGGATTGCTGGTCCAGGTAAGTCCAGGGCTCCTATTTGCCGCGGTTGTACTAGGTACCTCCGCGGTCCTCAACCATTTTTTGGTACGTCCACTTTCATAAGGGGATATATATATATATATATATATATATATATATATATATATATATATATATATATATATAGTTAATACAATGCTAAACCAAAATCTGCACACCAGTCAAGCCATAAGACTTGCTTTTCCCACAGAAATCCCAAATCAGCAGTGATGTTACAACCGCAAAGGATTCTGGGTGGGCATATGCAAATTAGTTTAACAAAGAATCACATTTTTGCCTCATTCCATTTTAAACATGGATTCCTTTTAATTTGTGTTTGCAGTGTATATATATATATATATATAATTTCATTCTAAGTATTTTTTTATATATATATATATATATATATATATATATATATATATATATATATATATAAAATCCACGATCCTGCACTCACGTTTGTAGTATAAGTGCCACGGTGCTCTTTCAGCCAAATCAACATAAATCTCCATGAAGAAAGGCACACGCTGGGCTTTTCGAAGAAAATTATTTGTCTTTATTCATAACTCACGGGTTATAGAAAATCGACCTTTCAGTCCATCATTGGACTGTCATCAGCTGGTGGACTTTTCCTACCTGCAGCCAGAGGGGGCACTGTGCTGGAAGGATTTCATCCTGGGTCATAGAGAACAGCGCAGGGGAGAGACAGGAAGAGGAAGCTCAGCTTTCATGCTCACCCACAAAGAATCACATTTTTGCCTCATTCCATTTTAAACATGGATTCCTTTTAATTTGTGTTTGCAGTGTATATATATATATATATATAATTTCATTCTAAGTATTTTTTTATATATATATATATATATATATATATATATATATATATATATATATATATAATCCACGATCCTGCACTCACGTTTGTAGTATAAGTGCCACGGTGCTCTTTCAGCCAAATCAACATAAATCTCCATGAAGAAAGGCACACGCTGGGCTTTTCGAAGAAAATTATTTGTCTTTATTCATAACTCACGGGTTACAGAAAATCGACCTTTCAGTCCATCATTGGACTGTCATCAGCTGGTGGACTTTTCCTACCTGCAGCCAGAGGGGGCACTGTGCTGGGAGGATTTCATCCTGGGTCATAGAGAACAGCGCAGGGGAGAGACAGGAAGAGGAAGCTCAGCTTTGCACAGAGGCACCCAGGCAGCTGCTGGTAAGTGTTTATCAGTCTGTGTGTGAGTGTGTGGGGGGGTCAGTCTGTGTGTGTATGGATCAGTCTGTGTGGGTGTGTGGGGTCAGTCGAGGTGTATGGGTGTTGGGGGGTCAGTCTGTGTGTGGGGTTGGTCTGTGAGTGTATCGTGTGTGGGAGGGTCAGTCTAATGTATGGATCAGTCTGTGTGTGGGGGTCAGTCTGTAGTGTATGGGTCAGTCTGTGAGTGCATGGGTCAGTTTGTGTGTGTATGGGTGTGGGGGGTCAGTCTTGTGTGTATGGGGATCAGTCTGTGTGTGTATTGATGTGGAGGGGTCAGTTTGTGTGTGTGGGGATCAGTCTGTTTGTGTCGGTTTGTGTGTGTCATGGGTCAGTCTGTGTGTGGGGGTCAGTCTGTGTGTGTGGTGGGTCAGTCTCTGTGTGTGTGGGGGTAATTCTGTGTGGGGTGGGTCAGTCTGTATGTGGGTCAGTCTGTATATTGGGGTCAGTCTCTGTGTGTTTAGGTCAGTCTGTGGGGGCCAGTCTGTGTGGGGGTCAGTCTGTCTGAGTGTGTGCATGGGTCAGTCTGTGTGGGGTGCGTGGGTCAGTCTGTGTGTGTGGGGTTCAGTTTGTGTCTATGGGCCATTCTATGTGAGTTTGGTCAGTCTGTGTGTGGGGGTCAGTCTGTGTGTGGGGGGTCAGTCTGTGTGGATGTGTGCATGGGTCAATCTGTGTGTGTGGGCCAGTCTGCGTGTGGGGGAGGGATCAGTCTGTGTGTGTATGGGTTAGTCTGTGTAAGGGACCAGTTGTGCGTGTATGGGTCAGTCTGTTTATGTGTATGGGTCTGTCTGTGGGTTTGTATGGGTCAGTCTGTGGGTTTGTATGGGTCAGTCTGTGGGTTTGTATGGGTCTGTCTGTGTATGTGTATGTGTATGGGTCAGTCTGTGTATGTGTATGGGTCAGTCTGTGTATGTGTATGGGTCAGTCTGTGGGTTTGTATGGGTCGGTCTCTGTAAGTGCTTGAGCTCCAAGAGACAGAACTATCAGCTTGTGACCTTCCCTGTACCTGATGGATAGGCAGCCTTCTCAACCACCATGCATCTGATTGTGACACCCGCTCCCTGCGAGGTAAGATGAGGGAAAGCTCTGCACTGTCCCACTTTCTACACGCCTTGAACACAGTACACCCTCACATACAGTGAATCCCCCACATACAGTATACTCCCACCAACACAGAGTACACCTTTGCATACACACATAGTGCACCCCTCACACAAATCATCTCTTCACCTACATACCTTTATTCCCACAAACACATGCATACATGCTTCACCCCATTACAAACCATATCTGATATACAAATATATTAAATATATATTAAAGGACCACTATAGGCACCCAGACCACTTCACCACGTCAGCTCAATGCCAGATCCCTCTAGTGTTTACCCTGCAGCTGTAAACATAGCAGTTTAAGAGAAACTGCTATGTTTACACTAGGGTTAATCAAGCCTCTAGTGGCTGTCTCACAGACAGCTGCTAGAGGCCCTTCCATGTTTCTCACTGTGAAAATCACAGTGAGAAGACGTTGACGTCCATAGGAAAGCATTGAGAAATGCTTTCCTATGGGTGGTGTGAATTCGCGCATGGCTCTTCAGCCCCCTTCAGCCCAGCGGGAGTGGGAACCTGAGGGTGCGGGGGACCTAAATACCCTAAAGTGCCAGGAAAATTAGTTTGTTTTCCTGGCACTAAAGTGGTCCTTTAAAAAAAAAATAAAAAAAAAATATGTATCTGCCATTGATGGCATACTTGAACTGATTTTGAAATGGCTAGATTTCATCTTTAAACCTGTGTCAAAGTTACTCCAACATTACTAACGAAAATATCGGAAATACAGTTTGATGCAAATAAGCCAATTTTAATAACCATGGACGTTGCGAGCTTATACACCATAATCCCTCATGACGAGGGTGTTGATGCAATGAGAGAAGTGCTTATACAAGCCAAAAATTACCAAGGCCCCCCCATTGAATTTATACTTGAATTACTTATGTTGACACTCAAAAACAATTATTTTTCGTTTTGAAGACAGATGGTTTTAGCAAGTAGCTGGTACTTCCATAGGGGCAGCAATGGCCCCCATGTATGCTAATTCATACATGTACGTTTATGAAAAAAAGTACATATTGGCACAATATGGACAAACATTGTGGGGTACTTTTGTTATATCACCGATCTGCTCATTATATGGTCTGGCTCTTATGCAGAGGAGTCTGCTATGGTAGAAGATCTAAACAAACTTTCTATGCCAGTTAGATTAACAGCTAACATCAGTCAAAAGAGTGTCCATTATTTGGACTTGGAATTAAAGGTTGGAGAACATCAAATTGAATATTCATTATATTCCAAACCCACAGACCATAACACGCTATTACATGCCCATAGTGCACACCCCAGTGC